TCTCTCACACACACACACACACACACACACACACACACACACACACACTACACAATCATCTGTATAATATGCTTGCAGCAAGCAATGATAGGCTAATATTACAGGCAAAACATTAGAGGTACAAAGGTACATTAGAGGTAATGTAAGATCGCAGAGCCAATGACAGGGAGCGTTTCCATCTGGCCAAGCACAACTAGAGAAGCAAGATTTTTACCCTGAATGTCTTCTGAATACCTTCAGTCTCCTGTCCTTTTTCTACATCCAAGGTTGTTTGAATAGCATGAATTCTGAGGATAGTAACAATAGCTGAAGTAGCAAAGTACTGTCCAATCATGAGAACCAGAGTTCAGGTCCCTAGCACCCACACAAAAAAGCTGGGCATGATGGCACCCATCTGTAATCCAAGCACTGAGGAGTTATAGGTATCAGGATCCCTAAGGCTCACTGACCAGCTAGTCTTGCTGAATTGGTCAGCTCCAGGTTCAATAAGAGACTGTGTCATGCAAATCCTCTGTCTACTTCCTGAGAAGAAGGCTCTGAAAAAGTCAGTACTTCAGGGCTGGAAAGATGGCTCAGTGGTTAAGTGCACCAACTGCTCTTGCAGAAGACCAAGGCTTAATTCTCAGCACCCACATGATAGCTCACAACTGTATATAATTCAAATTCCAGGGAATTTGATACCCCCTTCTGAACCCCACAGGCACCATGCACATATGTGGCAAAGAGATCTATATTCAGGCAAAACATGCACAAAAAAAATAGTTATTTTAAAAAAAATAGCATTTTGGATGAGCACTTCATGATCCCATGACCTGCATGAGCAGACTCTGGCACATAAACAAAAGCCCTACCCCACTAGGACAGTATCACACCAACTTGAGGCTCCTACACTTCCTCTCTAAGTTATGTCTGGTGTGCTTACCACAAAGGTAAACTCTTAGGCCACTTGGCATTGTGGTCTCCCACATCAAAGAGCCATCATTGTATAGAAGGTACCATCTTCCAGAGGCCATAATTTCAGGCCTGTGCTCCACATATCTATTTGATATAGG